TACTGAAAAGTTTCCGGTATAAAAGTAATCTAAATCCAATTTTTGTCGATTAAATAACTAAACTAAAATGATCGTTAATATCTGTCGCACGTAAACTTTCTAATGCGAGTCTAATTGGTAATGTTGGTAAAAATTGGAGGATCCTCTTGGGCAATATGAGATTTAGCTATATTGTGATAGGTATCTCCAAAGACTGGCTGTACTTCTAACGTTAGCATATATTTTAGGACAGAACTCTAGGATTCTGTACTTTGGGATTATTATCACTTGAATTCCCTTTACAAATTTACTTTGCAAACATTTTTGTGTAGCGAAGGGTAGCTACTTTCAACTAATATCAATAGATCCATACCATCTAAATTGAAACATTTTCTGAACACCTCAAAAATTTAAAAACGCACTCGTAGATTCTTCGCTACAGTATATAAAAGGGAAGTTCAAGATTATCATCTTCAATTTTGAGAATGTGACAAAGAATAAAATTTCGTGGGAAAATCTTCTAAAACAAGTGTCGACATCGTATGCTCATCGTTGTGTGATTCTGATGCCAGTAATCAAAAATACACGAAAACATTTGAACCGACTGTGTAGCTTCGTGGTAGAGCGTTGGGCTACAGTCGGGAGATCGGGTGTTCGAACCTGGGGCGATTAATTATAATAAACAATTATTATTGCACAAATACTGCACGTTTATATGTAAACTTTACGTGTAGCCTAATGCATATGTGCAGAGAAGTCACACGGTGGTAAATCCAAACTATGTGGTGGATGTCGAAGATTAGACGTTGAACTAAATGGTTTCTCCTTTGAAATAAATTCCTTGCACCACTCTCGAATAAAGCCGGGCTCAGACGACTCGTGTACTTGGCGAATAATCGTTACTTTCGTATACTTGGCATGTCGTGTGAGTGGGTTACTTGTACAATTAATTGTCACTCGTTAGTTTTCCATTTCTTGTCGGTAAAATTGGTCCGAGTCAAAGGGATCACGATTATTCGCACACTTGCCAAGTACATACTTATCTATACTTGTAGAGGCGCTCAAACGGAATGCACAAATAATTTGCCTTTAGTGCGATTATTAATTTAGTTTTCAGTTAAAGACGGAAGCGTACAGACGTTTTTTTTTGTTTTTTTTCTTTTTTTTATTGAAATGGAGTGGACAAATGAGATTGGTTGGAATTTCTTGTTTTTTATGAAAATGAGCCGGTCATTTGGATGGCTAAACACAAAGACCATAAAAATCGAAATGCAGTTAATGATGCCTGGAAAAGGATAAAGTGTTACAAATGTTCGCCCCAAATATTCGCCCTCGCGTACTTGTACAATATACACGTCGTGTGAGTGTCCTGCTTGCCATCGCAACTCGCCAAGCTCGTATACTTCCCAAGTACGCAAATAATTGTGTATTCGCCAAGTACACCAGTCGTCTGAGCCCGGCTTAAGATTATAATTACAAATGTTCATGATTCTCAAACGTTACAAATATCATGGTTATGATCGAATATTTTTCCATAAAAGGTAATCACCGATTCACTATACACAAAGTGCTCGAAACCAATAATGTCGTACACTTCACAGTTATACGTCTACCTCCATTCGGACTAAAAAGTCACGATGCAAATCACATCACTAAAGCCTGAGTACATATATTTTATCGTTTGATGCATAATTATGGGTGTCTGCCTGTCTAGCAAAACCGTTATCATGAGTGATTAGCTACATAATTAGGTATGTGGAATATCCTATTCACTTCATGGCTGAGTTACCACTATTTGTAAATGCAGGCGCGGAATTTAGATCACCAACTTTGCGTTCATTAATTGCAAGTGGTGAATGTTATTTCTTGGCGTTGGCCTCCACGAGGAATTAAAATTTTTTGTCTCAATTTTTTAGGTTCTATATTCCAACTAAAAATCAATTACTTAGTATCTTGGATACAATTTATTATAATAGCGCTGTCAAGTGAACTGGGTACATGGCGTACATCCAACCCCTAAGGCCAATAGTATTAATACCTACCAATCATCCAAAAAAACTATTTTTCTGTATATTCACAACAGTAGATAGGCTATGAGAGTTCTGGCCCACTTTTGGTCAAAATCCCATGTTATTTCCCATAAGAAATTCTAAGGTCCATTTCGGTCATTTTTGTATCACTTCTGTCATGTGCGCATGCGCGTCCCGGGCTCGCCGGCAGGGATGTCGTTGGTCGCAGGGGCCGGAGTGTGGTATTTCGGAGAGGCGTTGGTCCGGGCAGCCGGGGTGTGGGAACTTTTACCGCCTCAGCTTAATCGACTTATTTCGACAGCCGTGGTGTTGGTATTAGGCCATATATACCTCTTATATATATGGTATAGGCTCTCGGGGTGAGGGACTGTTTTTCCGTCCAATTAGTTTCGCTCCTTTTTTTTCGGCAGCCCGGGTCAAGGTTATTTTGGAAGGCTTCAGTTCGGATCGAGGTTCGAACCTACTTCCCTCCGCACTTACTGCTGTATCAGAGGTCGGATAACCAACTGCGCTACCAGAACTATTACTTATCGACTGATATAGATGAGCCGTGTCTTTCCGTTTGCCTCATATTTTTGACAGTTATGCTTCTCATAAGCGTTGCGGTAAATTTGTAGACGCGGGGATTCGAACCATCGATCTTTACATTAGAACCATCCATCTGAACCACTCGGCTACCGCGCCTTAATCATATCTACGTTAAAACAATCATAGGTAGGTAATTACTTGTGCTATTTATAGAATAAAAGGAAGCATTGTAGAAAAAATCGTTCCCCGATTCTCTAATTATTAAAACGAGAATTAGTCGACGTGTTGTTTAGATTTCCTATAATTATATGACATTGCATCATCCAGCTGTAATACTAGGTAACTTGTACTATCCAAGTCGTACGTGTATGGATGTTCTTCATATTCATTTTGCGATTATGGATAAAAATAAATGTTATATGGAATAGACTTCCTGGGATGGAATGTGTAAAAATGATCGGTCAGCTATTATACAATCGTCCTCTCCCTTACTACTTCATTGTTGAAAGCATTGTAAATTTAATTACGAAGAATAATTTCAAATTCCAATACATAAATAGAACAAATGCAATTCTCGTATCATAGTACGCATTCAAAAATTATACTGGGGCGTATTAGAATTCTTTTTGGGGAGCTTCATGGTAATACAAGCGGTATTTGGCAGCTACGGGAATGAAAAAAAAAACGACTGAAGAAAAACTGCGCTACATTGGTAATCTTTCCCGCGATTTTACGTATAGTAACACTTTTGTCAAATTCTTTTTACCACCGCGCACATCAAAAGTTCGTCGGGGAACATTCCAATATAGGAAATGCACCGCGATTTTTTCGTGTCCATTTTTCTGAAGGTACCTTCTGCATTAGCGCGCACGCAAGGTCCTTTTTTACTGTGAGTTCGAAATTTCGGGCGGCTATGAGGTATCCAAATACGAGTAAGTGCATATCCTTTTTGCGGCGAAGCAATTTCTTACATTCCCCAATCTCATAATGAAGCCGCCATGCCTACTTGAACGATTCAGTATTGCATTATTATGTTCACACACTAAAAAGTGTAATTGGTCCATATTTAAAATACGCGTTGCACTCATGGCAAATGCTTACCCCACTCCAACGAGCACCCTGTCGTGTTGGACTGGAGAATGGAGATGAAAGTAAATTAATTTCAAGTTCAAAATATAAACCTATAAACAAATGCAATTCTCGGTAATAAGTATCTGCTCGTCCCCGTCGTCCTTTACTGCTCTTGCACAGTACGCATTCAGCACGAACTATACTCGCGCGCACTTATCAGCTTTTGTATTACAACTCGTTAGTTATGCAGATAATTCCGTAATTTTTTTTGCATAGTTATCAAATTACCGAACTTTTTTGTCAATAAATCGTATGGAAAGCGGTACTTTTTTTCACGATTTTTACCATTCTTTTCCATGGCGTTTAGTCCTGTCCACCGTCCTGTCTTTGAACAATAGCTCAAATTTTGAGTGACAGTAAATCGCGAATGTCAATTATATTATTCAATTATGTGTAATTAAGGATCACTACGCAAAAAAATTTCGTGTACAACACGTGTTGAAAGTGTCTTTTTTCATTAATATGCTTGATTAACTCGGGCTTCGCCCTCATTAATCAAACTGCAAATTCACGAAAAAATGTATCTATTACACTAAATTTCCCGTGTAATTTTACGTATAGCAAACGTCTAATTGAAAATGCTTACCTCAACACTATTATTCAAAGCGCCTGTCGTGTTCTTGTTGGATTGGAGATGAAAGTAAATAATTATAAACAAATAAGTACAATAATGTGTTTCAAATTTTAAAATGGCCTGAGTTCGGAAGCACGCCGCACGGGTGTAAAAAATAGTGATGAATCGACTTTGTTCTTTTCTGAAACGAGAGCCGAGGAGAGCGATCATCATTTCGCAGAAATATACACACTCTCATTAGAAATTGCATTTTCAGCGCCTTATAAAAGGGTGATTATTCAAATTTTTTCCCATTTCTATTCGAGTATTGCTTGCAATTAGTCGTTGCGTTTGTGTGTTTATTAGTTACCTATCTGTTGGTGAGTTTTATTATTATTAGCAGTAGTAGTTATTCTTTTAAATTTATTATTATTTGACGTGCACGTAATTCGAAGCGCGTTATAAAAGAGGAATTATTCAGATTTTTTCCATTCCTGCTCTAGTATTCGTTGTGTTTAGACGTGTTGTGTTTATTAGTCGTGTTGGTGAGTTTTATTTTTATTATTAATAGTTTTTTAATTTATTATTAAAATTGATTACACGTACAGGTACACGTAACTTCAGCTCGCTATAAAAGGTGCATTATTCAGATTTTTTCCATTACTGCTCTAGTATTCGTTGTGTTTAGACGTTTTTGTTTATTAGTCGTGTTGGTGAGTTTTATTTTTATTAGCAGTAGGTTTTTTTAGTTTATTGTTAAAATTCATTAGACGTGTAAGATGTTTGCAGATTTAGTGAAACACATTGCAGGTATTTTAGGTGTGTTAAGAACTAATTACAGCGATAAATCAGTTAGGGAAGGGATAAGAGAGTGTGATAAAGCGACACGTAGGATTCGGAATTCTTTGCGTGGAGCTTTACCTATAGGTGAAAAACAACATCATGAGGCTTGTTTACGTAATATTAAATCGATGCGTAAGCATTTTAAATTAGAACAAAAGAGGGGCCAGGGTATAGCATTGAACAAAGAAACCGCAAAGCATCGCGTTCATTGGGATGACTCCATTTCAGCTTTTAGTAATAGAATACGGACTGGTGTTATTACTAATCTCAAACATAAAGACCCCAGCCGCTTCTTAGTGGACTGTAAGGTAATCTTCAAACGACAGGTTTTCAACGCCTTGAAAAAAGACGAGGCTGTGAAAGTAAATGCGATTTTTTGCGGGGAATTTGTGATTACTCAAGGGGAAAAGACTCTCAATGAGTATAAGTACTTCACAACATCAAATGCGGCAATATATAGGGGTACTGACATAGAAGAGTGGTTTGAGGAAAAGGTTAGTAAACCCCTAATGAAGAAGTTATCGGAGTTTCAGGAATGTAACAGCGGTTGGGCACTTCGAGCCGTCGTTAATTTAGGGGTTAATTTTAACAAATTTACACCTCAACTTGGGTCTTCATATGTTGAGTTACCTCCGCAAATTCAAACAAAAAAGGCCTGTGTTAACGTCAAGAACGAGGATCATGCGTGCTTTGCGTGGGCGGTGGTTTCAGCATTATATCCTGCTGATAAACATCCTCAAAGAATATCTAAATACCCTCACTACTCGTCTGTGCTTAAGCTAAAAGGGATCCAGTTTCCGATGACCATGAGACAAATTTCGAATTTTGAAAAACAGAACAATATCTCCATTAATGTGTACATTTTGAAGAAAGAGAAAAAGGATCAGTTTAGTACCCTGCCTACATACCTAACTAAGGAAAAGATGGATAAACATGTGAACCTGCTTTTAGTGCAAGACTGCTATGAACAACCCACTAAATTCCATTATGTTTGGATCAAAAATCTTTCACGGCTAGTATCTAAAAAGTTAGGCAAAAGGAATGGACAAAAATATGTTTGTGATAGATGTTTACACTATTTTCATTCTGAAGACAAATTAATTAAGCATACTGGAGATTGTATGCAGAAGAATGATACCGCAATCAAGATGCCTACGGAAGAAAAAAAGACGTTGAAGTTTAAAAATTTTAAAAATAAAATAAAAGCCCCCTTCGTAGTATATGCAGATCTCGAGAGTGTCCTGAAACCTAGCGCGAAAAAGACCGCATACCAGCAACATATTCCGGCAGCTGTGGGATACTACTTCAAGTGCTCATATGACGAATCTCTTTCATTCTACAATAGTTACCGTGGTGAAGATTGTATGCGGTGGTTTGCTGACGAGATGAATCAACTCGCGGAAGATGTCTCTACTGTGTTTCTTTGCCCCTATAAGATGCAAATGACTCCACAACAAGAAATCGAATTCCAAACAGCAACTCACTGCCACATTTGCGAACAGCCATTTACAGCAGGGCAGAAGAAGGTTCGAGATCACAATCACCTCATTCCAGAGAACAACTTCCGCGGAGCTGCATGTGAAATTTGTAACGTCAACTATCAGGACACTCATACAATTCCGGTAGTATTCCACAACTTGAGTGGATATGACGCTCACTTTCTTATAACGGATATTGCCACTAGAATGGGTGGTAAAATCGACTTGCTTCCTATAACCAAAGAAAAATATATCTCTTTTACCAAACATATCAACGAGTCACGCATCAACTTTAGATTTATAGATAGCTTCCGGTTTATGGCATCATCCTTAGATAAATTATCATCAGCTCTAACAGAATTTCCCAATCTCAAGTCACAATTCTTTGCTCTACCTGAAGATCAATTTAATCTTTTAACTAAAAAGGGTATTATGCCGTATGATTATTTAGACTCATTTACCCGTTTCGATGAGCCTTGCCTCCCTCCTCAAGATGCGTTTTACAATAAATTGGAAGATAAGCCTTGTCCCCGTAGGATGTATCGTAGAGCTCAAGAGGTGTGGAGCAAATTTAACTGCAACAATTTAGGTCAATACGTTGAGTTATATATGAAGACCGATATTCTCCTCCTTGCGGATGTATTTGAACTATTTAGATCAAGCTGTATTAGTACTTATGATTTAGATCCAGCCCACTACTTTACACTGCCAGGCTTTACTTGGGATGCCATGTTGAAACACACGCGGCAAGAGTTAGAACTCCTTACCGACCAAGATATGTTTCTTTTTATTGAGCGAGGTATTCGAGGAGGTTTGAGTCAAGTCTGCTCTAAGAGAAGAGTCCACGCAAATAATAAATACATGCCCAAGTATGATTCAGCGAAACCTGATGTATATTTGATGTACAATGATATTAATAACCAATATGGATGGAGTATGAGTCAATATCTTCCTTATGGGGGGTTTCAATGGGTAGATGCCAACATCGATGTTACTATGATCCCGGATGATGCAAATGAAGGCTACATTCTAGAAGTTGATTTGGAGTATCCAAAGCAGTTGCATGACTTACATCAAGATTTACCATTCTGTGCATTACATATCAACCCGAAAACCATGAAACCACCATCTAGAGCTAAAGAAACTTCAAAACTCATGGCAACCCTAAATCATAAAGAAAAATACGTCATCCACTATCGCGCCTTGAAACAAGCATTAGCTCACGGCTTAGTTCTCACTAAAGTACATAGAGTACTAAAATTTAAACAGTCCCCTTGGCTAAAGTCCTACATTGACTTGAATACGAACCTAAGAAGAAATGCCAAGAATGAATTTGAGAAGAACTTGTTTAAGTTGATGAACAACGCAGTCTTTGGGAAGACCATGGAAAATGTTAGAAAACGACTTGACGTTAAATTATTATCCAAATGGGAGGGTCGTTATGGTGCAGAATCATATATCTCAAAACCAGAATTTAAATCTTGCGTTATATTTAATGAGAACTTGGTGGCGGTAGAAATGAATAAGCTTGAAGTATATTTAAATAAACCTATATACGTAGGTCAAGCCATTCTTGATTTAGCTAAGACGACCATATACAGCTTTCACTACGACTACATGATGGATAGATTTGGAGGTAACTGTACTGCCGTTTATACTGATACCGATAGTTTAATTTATGAAATTCGAGAGCAAGACCCGTATATGGTTATTAAAAGCGATTGTTTTAAATATTACGATACCAGCGATTTTAACCCTAACAACCCATATGACATACCTCTTGTAAATAAGAAAGTCTTGGGTATGATGAAGGATGAAAATAATGGGAAAGTAATGACTGATTATGTAGGATTGCGATCTAAACTGTACACGACCAAAGTATTAACCACCAAGGATGATTTAATAAAATTGCGTCAGAAATTAGAAGCGGAAGAGTATGAGGAGGATGAAATTGCTACGATTATTAAAAATTATGGTTTGATAAAAAAGGCAAAGGGGGTAAAGAAAAGTGTAGTCGAGACTAAAATTTCTTTTGATGATTATGTGGAATGTCTGGAGACATTTAAGCGCAAAACAGCATCTCAAAATTTGATTCGGACAGATAAACATCAAGTGTATTCTATAACACAGTCGAAAATTGCTCTAAGTCCCGAAGACGATAAGAGGTATCTAATTCCCGGCTCATTTAACACTCTTCCGTGGGGCCATTATGCTATTGATAAACCTCAAGATGTTGCCGATAACCCGATGGATGTTGATTAATGTGCAGATTTGGTATCCCTCCTAATGTATTTTTGAATTAGTTTTTCTATATCAATCTATTAATTTACCAACCCACACTTTTTTTTACTTAACCAGACCTACAATAGATTAATTCTTAACAAAGAAACCTGTTAGGCCTCCATTGTTACTTTCCCTCTACATACAAAGTATGTATAAAGGAAAGTATTGTAATCGTGATAAATTTTCGATATGCCAATATTGCGTTTTCTGGACGTTTAGAAGCACTCAGATGAGCCCCAATGGGCATGTGAGGATCGTGGATGTTGCGGAAAGTTATCTTGAATCGGATTAATCAAGGAGATAGTTGTACTCTCTGCAATTATACATCAGAAACCACTTCTGCTTCTGATCAAATGTGATAACATTACGTCTGATTTATATGTAAACAATGTACCTTTTTGAGTTATGTTAATAAATGATATATAAACACCAAGGAGTTTTCATTTCTCTACGGAATAATAGGGACGTTTTTAAAAATTGTACACTATTTCCTTTTTTTTTCATCATAATCACCGTTCCGATCAATCCATCTTTTTGAATCTACCCCGCATGTTATTCCTCGATGTTTCGTCAGATACGTGTGGACTAGCGTTGCGCTGCCTTCTTGTTTTGTATTCCGGTGTGAAGGTTCTCCAACGTCTCACAGCGCTCCGGTAGGCAGGAATTCACACAACCCCGGTCCTAAAAAGAAAACTCAGGCAGACGGCTTTGGTGATGATGTTTCCATTGGCGGATTTTTGTTTCCGGAGTCGTGTAGGGAACTTAGCTCTCGTCCACCGGCGCAATCTTTTTTGCACAAAAAAAACGAATCGAGTCGGGCATGCGGATGGAAATCTGCAACTGTTGTGGAAAGTTATATGGATTAATCAAAGAGATAGTTGAACTCTCTGCAATTACACATCAGAAACCACTTCTGCCTCTGATCAAGAATATTATACGTTTAATTTAAATATAAATAATATACCTTCTTGAGTTGTGTTAATAAATGATATATAAACATCAAGGAGTTTTTCATTTCCCTAAGGAATAATTTGCGATTTCACTCTCGCGAATGTTCTTCTTCTACCGGGAGCTGGTACCTACGTAAAATAAGGTTCCCAATTATTTTCACAATGAAAAATTATGTTTATTGGTATTTTTGGAAACTTTACACTATTTCATCATAATCACCGATCCGAGCGATCCATCTTTTTGTATCTACCGTCGCATGTTCCTCTTCGGTGTTTGGTCAAGTCGAGGAAGAGACACTAGAACTGTAAGAAGGGTGTGTGTATGTTGTACGTGTGGACTAGCGCTGCGCTGCCTTCATGTTTTTTATTGCGGTCTGAAGATTCTTCAACGTCTCATAGCGCTCCGGTAGACAGGAATTCGTACAACCCCTTTAGCGATGATGTTTCCACAGACGGATTTTTGTTTCATTTTCCGGAGTGAACCCAGCTCTCGTTCACCGGCGCAATATTTTTGCACACACAAAAAACGAATCACGTAATGTTGGGAGAGTCCATCTCTAACGGCAAGAGTGAGTGTCGTGGGTGGAGAATTGGTAGGAGGAAGAATCAAGCTATATGCCAGTGTGGAATTCGGTTACTGTTTGTGTCTGCATCTTATGTATTTTTTTACTTTTTAAATTGTAATCATTTGACATTCAAAAATTATGGTAGGCCTATTAGTTGTTTTTTATATACTCTATATATAAGAAATTTCTAATGGGGAACCCTATAACGAGGCCAATAAACACCTCCAATAAAATTACATTATTTTAATGTGAATTTATTGCCTCCTGGGTGGCCGTGGAAAGAGGTGTATCTATAAGACGAACATTCTCAACCGCTGCCTATGCCTTTACCATGACAACTGGAACTTCTTACAGAATAACAACGGAATTTTTTCAGAATTCTCGAGGTTTTTCATATAAAATCTGCTTACCCTTCATCAGTCGTGCATACCGAATTTGCATGAAGGTTTTTCGTATAAATTCGGCCTTCCCTTCATTGGTGAGCGAATTGTACCGGTGTATATCCTGTTTATCATTTTCTGTATATCAGCCAGTTTGCTCGGTGTTGATAGTTTACATTCTCGTGACCTATACAGCGATGATTGGCTTCTAATATCCATCTATTTTTCTTCAGTTGATACCACATGTTCTAGTAATCGAACAAGCCTCAACTGGACTCATTGTATGGTCCTCTACAAATTGGGGATCCAGGTTTTCCGATGGCAATGTAGCAGATTTTAAACACTAAGACGAGCTCTCCATTAATCTTTAGCTTTAGCCTTTTATCTAATTTAGTGCTAGGTCCCTAATAATAATAATAATTTATTAAGAAAATAATACAATTATATTTATATCTCAAAAGCGGACCTTAAGCTTCTCGTACCTAACGGCAGGGATGGATAACAAATGGTTCCCGAGTCCCATTTTTGACGTTATAAAAGTTAATAAATTGAAAAGGTATAATGATAGTTTATACAATAATGACTTATAGACAAAATTTAATACTCGATCAATTTCTCGACGTACAAGAATCTTATATTTATTAACGTGATGTCCCCTTGGTACATAGAATGAAAATCTGAAACTATGCATTCTGAAGAACGTCATTTCTGTTTTTAATTCTTGCAGTCAGGTAGGGAAAGTATACAAGTAGACTGTAGTGTAGTCCAATTGACTTTGAATCAAAGAATTTGTCAGAATATTTTAATGGTCCGTTCAACAAATCCCTAAATTCGTATAACGCTTTCAGTTTCCCATAGGCAGTTCGTAATTTCGAAGTTTAAATTTTTTGTATAAGCGACGATTCTTAGTACTGTTGTCTAGCTGTATTAGACGACCATCTAAAGTAATTTCTCTACGTTTATTCGCAATGAATATACCTACCTCTCGAATATTTGATACTCCAACACATATGGCCACCGTTTTCTTAGGGTTCAAATTAAGTCCATTCGACCTACTCCAAATAAATATATTTTCCAAGTTTTTATTCAGAATACTGATATCCGGGCATATGTATATAGCTCAACTGGAAGTCGAGTATTAACCAAGCCACTTCCATCGATTCGAATGCTACATATTTTCCACATAAACTGGAGGGTGTTTTGCGTTCGAAAGATAAATTAAATAAAGGATTGCTTAATCCCACAATCAAGCTGCTTTTGATTATCGATTTAGCGGGAAGACAAATAAACCATAGTAAACGAGTCAACAGATAAGCAGATTAAAAACGGTGTTCGGAAACAGCCTTCAAATGAACAGCTTTTTTAAATCTCTTCATCTGTTTATCTGTTCATCTGTTTATCTGATCTGTTTATCTGTTCATCTGTTTATCTGTTCATCTGTTTATCTGTTCATCTGTTTAATCTGTTCATCTGTTTATCTGTTCATCTGTTTATCTGTTCATCTGTTTATCTGTTCATCTGTTCATCTGTTTATCTGTTCATCTGTTTATCTGTTCATCTGTTTATCTGTTCATCTGTTTATCTGTTCATCTGTTTATCTGTTCATCTGTTTATCTGTTCATCTGTTTATCTGTTCATCTGTTTATCTGTTCATCTGTTCATCTGTTTATCTGTTCATCTGTTTATCTGTTCATCTGTTCATCTGTTTATCTGTTATCTGTTTATCTGTAGTAGGTACCTATTTACCAGTTTATACATTGGACCTTTCCTCGAAATCGACAATCAATACATATCATTAGAGGAATGAGTCTAGTCTAAAGAAGGTGGTTCATGTGAGCGTCACCGAAACCTTGAACATTTGGTCCGATTTTTTTGGGCGATTCTCTATGCTAAAATTCCCCATGAAGATCACAATACCACTGTGATAAGAAAAAATCCCTTTGGGCTCGACCGATCAGGTGTGGGTAGATTTTGTTCCAATATGGCGGAATTGGCTGATTCACGAACTTGATCGAGAGTTACACCAACCCTTAAAGTGTGGTTGAAATCGGTTCATAAATATGAAAGTTAGAATGTTTCTTGGAAGTCATAAACCTATATACTGGTACCATTATAATAGGTAGATAGATATAAATCTACCAAAAGGGTTCTTGATCTACTGATCGAGAGTTACACCAACCCTTAAAGTGTGGTTGAAATCGGTTCATAAATATGAAAGTTAGAATGTTTCTTGGAAGTCATAAACCTATAAATATACGGGTACCATTATAATAGGTAGATAGATATAAATCTACCAAAAGGGCTCTTGATCTACTGTTCCGATCTGGGCAGAATATAAAAGATGGGGTCTGTAAGGCAAAGGCAAAATCTATACATCGAACAACCGACTTCAATGGAAGAGCGTTGGACTATAAAGCCGGAGGTCAGGTGTTCGAACCTGGGCAGAGGTAAGAATTTTTCATCTGTGAGAGAGATTGGAATTTCATCAGTTTCGAGCATTCTTCCGGTTACTCTGAGATAGGTTTTCCTGCAGTTTTCCTAGTTCGTACGGTAAATACCGGAGTAGTATAACAACTTAAGACCTTCTGCAGAGACTAAAAAGCATTATGCACTCTGTAATTGAGCGCAAGCCTGTTGAGGGCCCAGAACAAGAGAGGGATAATAATAAATAATAATAAAAGAAGTTATTGTAGTTTCTCGTAGTCTACAGGCGTTGTGAGTCATCCACTTCTTATAAAGCATTTGCACATCCATTCGCGTTCGATTTCGTATCCCAGGACGTCAATTAAACCCCTTTAGCAAGAACGCTGTAAAGATTACCCTTATCCAGCACCGTTCAACTTTAGGAAAGATCTTCCTGGAGGACGTCCCCGAAATCGCAACAGAGCTTGGAGCTTGAACAACGTTTGATAGACATATTGCTTGCGTAGAACAAAGGGTGTTTCTTTTTGTTGCCAGTGTCATTTTGCTCCGGTTGTTGCTTAGAGCGTCCGAGGGTTGACATTCGATAATTGAATTTCCGGATATCATAAATAGGTTCTCATAAATTATGCATGTGATGACAACGATTTAATATTTATTTT